CATATACATAGATCCCTAAACCCTAAACCCTAAAACCCTAAACCCTAAACCCCTAAACCCTAAACCCTATGGCATTTAGGGTATACATAGGAGGAGTTTTCGAGAAGCACTCGATGGCTCGCGAGAAGGTCTGGCAATACTTCGTTCGACTGCAGACGCTCGCAGCCTCCAGCCTTACCAGTTAAGCTACTGTTTAGGGTTTAGGGTTTAGGGTTTAGGGTCAGGGGGACTTAGTAATAATGGAAAAGAAAATGGAAAGTACTACAATATTTAGGGTTTAGGGTTTAGGGTCAGGGGGACTTAGTAAGTAGGTTAATAATGGGGATAAATGGGCTTACTGTATGGGCTATAGGGGTTATTAACCTACTTACTAAGTCTCCCTGACCCTCCAAGTATAGCTATAGTCTGAACTCCTTAAAGGGGATTATATAGGGGGTTATATGGGATCCCTATTATAACGCTACAGCTTCTGGACGCAAAAACACACAAATTTTCCTATAGTTACACACATGTGTATACACACATACGCATATTCATCACATGTCTAAACAAAAACATATAATGTATATATGATACTATATATATACATACATATTCATATGTGTTTATGTATATGCGCATGTGTGTATATATATATGTAAATGTATATATATATATACACATACAAAGGTGCTGAAGCCATGAGGTGCCAGATGCGGAGAGGTGTATCTCTGCGGCCATGCGGACGATCCTCATGAATTCGATCTCAACATGGAAGCGGCTGCTGGGAGTGCGGCTGAGTTTACCGCACTGCGGTGCCACACGGGCATTTCTCAAAATCTGCGGCGCCGTATGTACTCCCCAAGACATCACCCTTACTAAAGAGTCGCCCTCAGTAAAAGGGACGCAGAATTTTTGAGAAACTCCCCACGTGCATCAGACCTGTTAACCTGCCTTATTCCTTCTCTATCAGCTTCAGGCGACTACACAGCGCTGCTGTGGAACAGTGTGGCTTTTGGCATTCTGGGGGATGCACCTGAGACTGCAGATGGGAAGTTGCACTAGAATCTTAACAATAAAAGATACAGCGTCCTGCAGATGCTGTAAAGTCCCGCGGCTAAATATCTCTCAGGTTCCGAAGTCACTACGAATCAAAGGCTTTGGGAAACTTGGGTTCGTAGGGTCCCCTAAGCCCTAAACCCTAAATAGTAGTTTCCATGTCATTTTCTATTACCCCCATAATAACCCAATACACTACAGCATTTTCCATTTTCTTTCCCACTACCCCAATACTCGAAACCCTAAACCGGGTTGTGTCTAGGTCACTTCATGGCGAGAGCTTGACGAGGAGGGTCAGGCACGAAGCGCGTTCAAGGGAGCGATAACACTACCTTCCACTCTCCGCGGAACCTACATCCTACGATGTGGGTGTAGGTTTAGGGTTTCGGGTATGTATGCCCTACTCCTCCCAGAAATCCAGTTCAGCTACTAGCCTTACATTGGGGTGTGTGGTCCCTAACTTAGGGTAAACAGAGGGTAGATCCAGGCTCTAGGTATGCTGTCGGGCAGGCTGCAGATGAGCCCGGTGGCCCACCTCCAAATGTCAGCTGGTGAGCAGCCTGAGTCTGCTGTAGGTTCCCTAGGCCCCTTGTGCTACCTCGCCGTGAGTTTTCGGTTTACCAGTGCTTAAGGACCTTACTTTGGGGGAACCTTAGGGGGTAGGACAGGGGGCAGCTACGGAATCCATTGCAGCTTCACATCACTAGATTGAGACCATGCGGGCATTTGTGTTCATCACTTGAGTATTAAGGTCTGAGAACCTTATCTTCAGCAACATGTTCGTCTCCTCTATACACAAGTTCATTGACTTCCATGCGCCAGGGGCCTACGCATTGCAGTGGCCTTCAGCGAATTCAATGCCCTTCATCGCTGTGCTCCGTTAAGCCACCAAGGAAGGAAGTAACATCACAAATGCACAACGAGTTCATGTTGATTCGGCGGGCGGAGGAACTGGGCATGAGATATGCCAGATCCCTAGAGTGATAAACCAAAGCTTTCTATAGGATCCCGAGGCTAAAGCTGGCAATCTGAGGATTTCAGTGCTGGAGACGAGCACAAACGAAGCAAGGAGGGTGCGACGCCCAGTGCATCCTATAAAATAGATCACTATCATGTGCACTTAGTTGGGTAAGGAGTCTACTCCTCCTTCGAGTATCTCCGCCGTCAGACGTTCAGCGGCTGGCACGCTGACAAGGCCTGCAGGTCCCCAGAGGTGTGCCACAGTCCCTGGGACTCCCAGAAGCCCTTTGTAGTCCCTGTTAGGGGGTTTCCCTAAATTAGGGGTTCCTTTTTGGGGGGGCCTTATAATAAGGATTATGGTATATTAGGGTCTTTTTTGGGGTTCCCCTATGTAGGGAAACTACCATAAATTCCCAGGAATTTGAGGGCAATTTGAGGGTACTTCAGTATTATTGGGAGATCCTTCAATGCCTGCAACGCAGGGCCTCTTGCGTGGCTTCCTGCGACATTGCCTGAAGCCGCGCTATGGTCAGCCGCGATGTGTTTGGCTTCATGATCTTGAGGAGAAGTTCCCCCGTGTGATAAAGAAGGGCTAGATCCCGTGTAAAACTACAACATCTACATATATGTATATATATATATATGTATAGATATATGTGTGCATATATATATATAAGAACTTAAGAACAGAAAAAACCATAATACTAATAATGATGTTAGTAACAAAACTATGAATTTCAATCCTCATGAAATTTCGTTTGGAATCGTCAATAAGCAGCCCTCTCCTCCATTCCCTGCCAACAAAGATACCGAAAGATAGTTGGTCATGTCCAGAACTCTTGGTATATGCGCCAAAACATGATAGCCCTCAAAAAAGGAGCCCCCAAACACCAATCCTTGAAACAAACCCTAAACCCGAAACCCTAATAGTAACTCCCAGGAAAAGATCCCTACATCTTTGCCTAAACCCCAAACCCTACCTATTACACCTGCCCTGTGACCCTTTACCTGCTGCCAGCGTATAAAAAAGAAACGCAAAAAACAAGATGCTGCAAAGAAAGAGATACTAAACCCCAAAACCACCACCCCCAACACAAAGAATAAAAAGAGAGAGAAACCACATACCCAAAACCCTAAACCCTTTATCCCTCGTGGATCCAAAGCCAGGTGCTGCTCCTCCCGTGTCGGTGGCTGACTTTGGGGCTGGCGGCGGGCCAGGGCCCACAGAGGGCTTTGGCCCTTCTGCGGCTCAGCTTAGGGTTTAGGCTTGGGAACCAAGATGTAGATATGCATATATATATATATGTGTATATATATATGTATATATATGTATATATATATATAGGGATTATGTAGGGACTGTACAGGGATTAAATGAGCTAGGGATGATACAGTGGTGTTTGGGGAATGGAAAAGAAAATGGAACCTAGTAGTAGTTTTTGGGAAGAAAGGATTATATTATTTTCTCATGAATCTGTATGGTCAGCCTTATCTTGATTAGTAGTAGCAGGCTTTGCGTTCCTAAAATTCTCAGTCTTGGGGGGTCGACAGGGTGTGCGGATCTGGGGGTGAAGTTTCAGGTTTGGGGTTGTGGCCCAGCTTTACATGATTGAGGCAACCCTGAACCCTAAACCCATTACTTTGTGTACTTGAGGCAGTACAGCAGCTGGCTGAATGACACAGGGCTCGTCCAGGCAGGTTCATTGTGTGCTGACAGAGTGAAATGCACAACGCCCATGGCTTATTGGTGGTTGGGGGGGATTCCTAGGACTTCCCTCTACATATATATATATATATGTATATATATATATAGAGACCCTCCCCTTACATAACCTGTATTGACCTATAGTCCTTCCTCTACTCTCCCGTAAGCCCTGCCGGGCAAAGTGGGGAAGCTACTTGGAGGTTCATGGGTAGCTAGAGGTAGAGCCGCCCACTGACTGTAATGATCATCTATGCGGTACTTCATGATGGCATACTGCATCCACAAAAAAAATATAGTCTCCCTTAAGTAGATAGAATCTGGGGTATATGGGGATCTTATTATAATATACCCAAAGTCATAGTCTATCTACTTAAGGGGGCCTATTAACCCCAAGCCCTATGCCCTAAACCCTAGATAGTAGTTTCCTTTTTCTTTTCCATTATCCCAATATAACCCTTTACAATCCCCCATAATCCCCATATAGCCCCTATTTAACCCCAATATTAGGGTCTAAACACACATGACCCTGCAAGCAGACTGGGGGATCTCTCGCGGTTAAGGTTTAGGGTTTAGGGATCTCCCGTGCAGGCCCTCGCCTATGACGCTACGGAGGCTGTGTCAGACATCACCGGCGGCTCAGTGTTGCAGGCGAGGGTTTAGGGTTCTAGGGTTCAAGGGTTGGGGATATATGGGGATGATGGAAAAGAAAATGGAAACTATAGGGATTATGGGGTCATATTGTATTTAATTTGGGGGTATTATGGTACCAATTATAGAGTAAGAGTATATCCTCCTTTTGGGGTATGGTATCTTATTAAAGGAAGATTATCTTGCTAGGTTTAACCCCCAACAAAACACTACTCACCTGTTTATGTCACTTCGATTTGTCTCGTGTCGATGCTTAATGCCAGCATTGCCATATGCTGTCAGCAGATGGGTTGAAATCTGCTTCTGTCCTGGCTGCCGTATGCCGTGGGATCGTAACACACACGTGGTTCATGATATGCCTACCGACCACACTATTCCCATGTATTCCTTACATGGCCTATACTAGACATATCTAATGCAAATTGGGTCACAGGCCTTTTCCACTAAGCCTAGGGGGACCTCGTGCCTCATGGCCGCGGAATGCTATACAGATTTCTTGAAATTTGCACGGCCCCCTTATTGTCTGAAGGACGTGTTTCCATTAACTGCTGGAGCGCTCATGAGGCCTTTTTGGGGAATCCTTAAACGAGAAAGAGAGCTATTGTGAAGGTGGTAGGGTGAAGGAATGTGATTGTTGTTGTGGAGTTGCTGAGTGCTGTCGCTGTCCAAGGCTGCTCGGCCCTGCTTTCGCCCTGCTTTTGCACTCATCATGCCCTCGTCATAGACTATCTTCCACCGGAATCCCATCTGCACGAAGAGAAGCATCTGATGTTTCTCGCTGGTCTTGGTCAAGGAGTTAGCGAGCATTGCGTCGCCATGAACCCATGAAATGCTGGTGCATGCTCCTTCCATGTTTTCCTTAAGACCCAGAGCCTCAATACTAGATCGCTTTTCGCTTCCCTTAACAGTAAGAACAGGGGAGTACAGCTTGTCAAAAAGATTCTTAGCGTCAGTAACTAAGTGCCCGGCGGTCTGTCTAGCTCCTACATTAGGATGTTGGGGATCGATCATGCCTCCACACATTTCACTCCAAAGGTTACGAAGGAATAGGAGATCATCTTCACCATCAGAGGCTGCAATTGTCTCCGCGGCTGCCGGAGACTTGCAAACTCGCTCGATCTTGCTTGATCTCCAATGAATGGGTGTGACATCTTCCTCCTGCCCTGCCTGAAGCTTACGAGTAGACATGCCTATGAAGATGCCCTCAGTACTATCTTTGCCATTTGGTCTGTTCGCCCAAGCTGCGTCTGACCAACATGTCATCTCCAGAGGCTCATGAGATGGAAAGGCATGGATCCTGAGCTTGAAATCTCTCCACTTCTTCACGGCGCGAACCACCTTGTTCGTCTGGAGGATTTCTTCAACTGTGCTCACGGGGATTGTCGTGATCAGGAAATTCACATCGACTGAATGCAGAAAATGGGTCTGACCACAGACCCAAGACAAGCTACCCAAGACTGCTCGAAGGCTGCTCTTCTCCGCATCAGTGGTGAGAGAACTTGTTTGCCGAGCCCTGTCCCTCGAAATGTGGATTTCTTCAAGCTCCTCAATGCTTTTACTCTGGTCCATCTCGATGGAGAAGTCATCCAGTTGCCTCACATGGATGCCGCACTGCGTGAACTCAGCCTCTTCCCATGTTCCCCAGTTGTACTTCTGACGGATCTTCTCCATGAGACCTCGATGGATATCACATTGCGGATCGCCGCCAAACATGAAATCATCGACATGGCCATGAATGATGGAATTCACTGCGCCGGATGCCTCAGTGTACACCCAGCAACATGGTTCCATCTTCAATCGACGGTATCCCAGAGAAGAGAGAAAGGAACATACGCTCTTGTACCAATGCAGAGGAGCTTGTACAAGGCCGTATGCGGCCCTGCGCATCAACATAGGGGTGCCTTCTTCAACGCCAAGAGCTTTCGAGATTTCCGGCAAGGGCCGGCAACACAACTGTTCTTCCAGAAGGTCTCCTTGAAGAAAAGCTCCTGACACATCCCCTTTCTTGATGGCAAACTTCTTCCAACTGCAAAGTTGGAAAAAGAGTTGTCTTCCCGATTTCGAGGGAGTCGGAGAAGAGGTCTCTCTCGCGGCATAGTTTGGGTCATGGTACCCCAATATGATGGCCCTGGCTTTCGCCTTTCGCCCGCCAATGTCTTTGTACTTCTCATCATATTTCCACGTGAGAAGCCAACGCATGCCGAGGATCTCTTCTTCGGGAGCATCCGGACCCTTCCACGCTTTGAAGCATTCGGACGCCACAAAGTTCCTCACCTCGGAGTCCTTTGCAGAGTCAAACTCTTTCTTTTGCTCGGGAGTGAGGCGGCGTTCGCACACTTCCACTTGCTTACGTTTTAGCTTTTGGCAAAAGAAGGCTGCCGGATTGGCGGTGAGCTTCTTCAAACCCCTTTTGGAGTCTGGCATCTCGATGTGGATCTCCACAGCCTGGAGCACAATCTCTTGTTCATCTTCTGGGTGAGCTTCTCGACTTCCTACTGCCCGAAGAGGAGGTCGAAGAGGCCCTCTTGCTGGCTCTTCCCCAGCTCTCTTGGTCCCCCGACGCTCAGGCATCTTCTGTCCTTTGGAAGGAGGTCGGTCAGAAGGAACAGAACTCTCCAAACTCCGCTTCTCGCGAAGTCTGAAGCGAGGTGCTTCCAGATTCGGGTCCACAGATTCAACAGGGTGTTCTGCTGCCTCTTCCCACTCTTCTTCGTCAGGAACTTCGTGGGAGATGTCATGATAAGTCCTTCGGTTTGGACTCGTGGCTAAAGCCGTCATGGTCCACGGAATTTCCACTGGGCCGTTCAACTCTTCCATGAGAGTTTCTCGGGGAGATGCATGACGAAGCTGCTCCGGGGCTGCGCGAAGTAGCCTGCCCCCTCTGTGAATCCATATAATTGACGCTGGTCGTACACGGCCATCGCCTTCTTGTCTGGACTCCGTGGCGAGCACTCTGGCCGGCCCGAGGAACCTTCCCTTGGGAATGTTCTGATGGGTCTTTCCGGCTTGTTGCTTCCTCCAATAATAGACAAGGTCGCCAGGGGCATAGACACTGGTCTTCCGATGTCCCATAGCCAATGCTCGCTGCACTCGTTGTCGAGCCTGTTCTTCGATGAACGCCTTCTCGGCCATGCATATCGCACGGATATTTTGTCCGAAGCCTCCATCTTCCATGAGATCGTTGTTCAGTGGCTTCTCGTCGGTGGTCTCAAACATGCGCATGTCTTCATCTGGTGTTCGCCCAGACGCATGCTGTAAGGGGGAAAACCCTCTATAAAGATCCCGGGCATTGCACACCCATACAGCACGACCAAACAACTCATCATTAGACATGTCGGGGAATTCTTGGGCAATGGCACTCATGACAGCTTTGGCACTTTGAATGCTTCTTTCGACAACGCCAGTCTGCCAGTGGGCCTCAGCTGGGATCGGATCCAACAGAGAAGTATCTATCAGCATTTTCATTTAGCCATGGACCAGCAGGGTCCACTCTGACAGCCGCTGGTGTACCGTGAGCAGGTAACCAAACCTGCTCATAAACCCCTCTAAGATCATCCCACGAACCAGCTTTCTTTATAGGGGGCCCCGAAAGAACCTTACCCGCGCGGAATCTACTCCCTTCATCCACAATCATGGCAAACCGAAACTTGTGATGACGCACAGGATGTTCCCAGTCACCTGTGTCCGTCTGAATGCGTTCCCACTTACGGGGAAGAACTTCAAGGGTCGCCTGCAACCGTGGTCTTGGTCGCTTGCGTTCCTCACACACGGGACACTGAAACGATTTGGCCACATAAATGACCTCCTGCGCAACCCCTCTGGATTTGAGAGCCGGTGTCAAGCTTTGCATGTCTCCATGACCAGTGACCCAATGAATGTGTTGGACCTTTTTCAAAATGTCTCTTCGTCTGGCGCGCTGTTCAGGACTTATATCTTCAGGAGGGGGTTCCGGAGGGTCTTCATGCTCATTGGCTTGGGCTTCTTCGGTTTCCTGAGGAGCCTTCTCTGCGTGTTGCTTAGGTTTGGGGCCCGGCTTTGTTTGCTGTGTCTGCAGTTCTTGGAGGACTCGAGGCCAAATCTCCTGTTCACACATGCAATCCACAATCTTACGCACAAACACCGGAGTGTACCGGGAACTGGCTTCCGCATGTCTGCCCCTACATTGGGTTTTGGGATGGTTTTTCTGGCACTGAAGATGCATATGCTTGAGAATGGCTTGGTTTTTAGTTGCAATGCACCAACCCTTACACAGCAAATGCTTCTGATCCTTAGTGCGCAATCCAACTGTACATCCATGACACACAACCCTCTGCATGGCCGACTTGTCGAGGAACTCTTGGATGAAAGAGAGATTCCACGCCTCGCTTCTTTCGGAAAGTTCCCAATGAACTTGGGCTCCGAGAGACTCTGCAAAAACGGCAACTTCAATCCCCCCTTTATACACCTTACGGGCATAACTACGCTTCTCCTCAAGAACACCCTCCTGAACTTCATCCCTCCTATTTAACCTTTGAAGGGGACAGTATGGACCGCAAGGACAACTAATCCAAACATGAACCGGCCGATGTTTTTCCACCAAGAACTTCGCCATAGCCACCCCTTTAGGAGAACTCAAATCACATCCATTGAACAAACCGCCCCTAACCGCACTCCCTTTACCAAACCTACCCTCGACTTCCTGACTCAAGGCACTATCTTCAAAGCAGGCAAGTTCTAACAACAACGGCCGGCCCAAATGAGCTAGCTCCTGCCACTTTGCACTCAAAGGATTTCGTTGTGGTTGCCAGGTCCTTGCCAATGTGAGGGCCACCGCATCCGGAAGGTCTTTCACATCCTCCAACCCGGCCTTGTCGCTGGCCATCTGCTGGAGCTCCGCCTTCAATCGGGCAATCTCGGCCTCCGCTCCCATCATCGGACCGGAGCTTTGGCTGTTGCCCTGGCCCGGCTCTACGTCGGCATGCTCACCAAGGAAAAGTCGCTCTTCTGCGACTTCGGCGTCCCCAGCTCGAAGTTCTGCGGGGCAGTCTTGTAGCCATCCGCTCTCGCGGCGTTGGTCTTCGGGTGCATCGTGGTGTTCGGCTTGCGGTTGGGGTTCTCCGGAATCGCGCCCGTCTTGCGGCCTTTCTCGTTCTCCATTTTCTTCTCCGCGAGGAACTTCTCGGAGTACATCACAAATCGTCTCCGACGCCATGACGTGTCCTCCTCGGCCATGATGGTCCGGCGCCACTGGGCATATGCCCCGTGATCCTCCATGACCTCGCGCATGGTGAGGGCTCCGTGACGTCCAAAACCCATCACCTCCTTGCCCGACACCTCGAACTTGGTTGTGATCTGCTCCTCGGCCTTGCACACCAACTGTTGAACTGTGTCGGTCTTGCCGTAGATCACTCCCTTTTCGTCCAGGAACCTCTGGAACTCGGCTTTCTTCTGGCGGCTGGCTTTCTTCATTGCCTTCATGGCTTCCTCCAATCCCTTGTGGGGATCGTCCACCTCCTCGCTCTCCATGATCTCGGCATAGCGACCCTGAAGCTGTGCCACGGTCCATGATGTTGGCGGATTCTCGCCTTGCTCCTGAAGGCGTCGAATCCACTCTTCCTTCTTCACGTACGGCATGGCACGGGAGTAGAGGATGGGTGAGGAATGCGTCAAACTGCTTGGGCGCTGTAGCGGCTGCAGCGTGTACTGTTTGATGTGAAATGTGGTCAAGTGTGGGAGGTGGAGTGTAATGGTTAAAGGTGATGGTGGATTGTGGGCTCTCTTCCGAACTGTCTCTACCAGCAACATGGTCACAAACATCATTCACACAAGGTCTCTTGAGCGGCTCCTGACAAAACAAACAGAAATCATCACTGACGGAATGCAGGCTACACTGCGGACATGGCATCAGCATGATCTTATCACCCCATGAATGCTTTGCATTCACACATGGTTCTACTGGTCTCCCCAGAAGTCCCTCTTTTCCATGACCTCCTGGGGAGCGCTGTCCCTACTCTGACAACAGCCCTTGAAATGGTGTTGACCTTGACGTGGCACCCTCAAGAAGATCTCCAACCATGGGAAAGAGCATATGGCCGTTCTCGGCCTCTTTCAAGATCACCACCTTGCGGCTGTCGACGGATTTGAAGATGCACTCGTTGGTCTCGAAGTGCCCGCCTCGATATGAGAATGGGTTGACCCGGGCTGTTGTGGACATGAACCTCCATGGACCCGGGGCGGTTGCCGACGGACATCTCCACCTTAGCCGTGGACAGACAGGACTTCCGCTGGCCATTTCCGAACCGGAAGGTGGGTCTTAATCTTGTCCCGGGCGGGCAAGATCATCATCTGCCCACTGTTCTCGCAAGGCCCGTTCCACCGAGCTGGTGCTAAACTCACCACGGATCGCAGCCAGAATGTTGGCCTTCTCTTGGGCATCGAGACCGGCGCGATGAAGGAGAAGAAATCCGGCCAGGAATTCTGGAATGAAAATCTCACTGCTCGTGTCCCAGGTCAGGGGCGGCTCATATTCCTGGCTCTTCCAGTCTGAAAAGCCGCTTGCCCAGGCACCCCATGAGTTCCATGACCACCCTGACCATCCTCCTCCAGACTGCCAATCCTCCCAACTCCATGGTGCATCTTCATGACCTTCTCCGGTGCCATTGCTCGCCTCGGTCTCTTCCTCCGCTTCAGGGTCCTCGAACCCCGGAGGAGGATCAAAGCCTCCTGTTTGGGATGGCGCCCTGCTTCCACGATCAGCCTGCCTTCCCCAGCCTGACGACCGCGTTGGTGTGGCTCTCTGACTTCCGCTCTTGCCCTCGTACTCTTTCTGAACTTTCCGCATGGCCTGTGATGCCTCCCACAAAGCTTCTGAGTGGCGGGCGATCCAGCTTGTCATGGTCTCCCCCCGCCTTCGCTTCAGGTTGTAGAAGAACTTCATCACATATCTCGAGGCTTCGACAAGGGTGGGTTTCGCCAAAAAGGACTCAAGGAAATCCAGTAGCATGTAAGTCCCCCTAGGATGTGCAAGCAACTGAGGATCTCGGTTAGTCTGTGTCCTAATTGCAACTTTCGCTACCCCTGTCAGCTCTTTTGCCAGCCTCGGTCCAGCCAAGTATCTCTTCTTGACCTCGAGAGTCATCAAATACTGCAAGGCCTCCTCCTTGTACATGGGCAAAAGCTCCGGTTCCCCTGCATATTGAGGAACCCCGTCATTGGTTCTTTTGATCGTGGCTTCCATCTGAAAGCCCTCTACTGCCCTCTGCCGCTAGGCTCAGACAGTCACTCCCTGGATCGTACACACTTCAGAAGCGGCCCCTGGGCTCACGCCTCTGTTTCAGTAACCAGGCTTACCGGCTACCATGCAAATTGGGTCACAGGCCTTTTCCACTAAGCCTAGGGGGACCTCGTGCCTCATGGCCGCGGAATGCTATACAGATTTCTTGAAATTTGCATCTAATATCATGCAGCCCCAGTCTTGGAGGGCTCACAGGGGTCCATGTGAACTATAGTCTAAACATCTTAAAAGGGGTTATATAGGGGACAATATAGGGGACTACTATAGGGGTTATTAGGGGGATACTAGGAGTTTAGACAATGGCTCATGTGAACCCTATGAATTGCTTCAGGTTGACTTAGCCAAGCCCTCCCTCGACTTGCAGCGTCGATTCGACGGGAGCTGAGCAGTCTGCAATACCGTATATGGGAGTTTCCCAAAATTAGGGGTACCCTTTTGGGGGTCCCCATAATAAGGATTATAGTATATTAGGGTCCATATTGGGGTCCCCCTATTTTGGGAAACTACCATATAGTGTTTTTTCAATATGGATATTACAGTCCACAATATGGAGCAACACGTATGGTCATACACGGTGCAGCCACCATGGAAGCCGTAGTCATACGTATCGGGTCGTGTTTTATCATGCTGTGAAGGGATTCTACATAAGGTGAACTGAGATTGTGTAGGGATGACGTGATGATAGAGGCAGTCAAGGACCTTACATAGGAATTCAAGCCCTGGCCCTTTGGATAGTTTCGATGCCTCTGCTCGGGTGCACGTATGACACCTGTACCTGTTTAGCTCTGCCTTGTGTGCAGCGCTCAACAAAAACGTGTTCCTCTCTCTGAGGATTGGATACTCTGCCTTGATGTGGCATACCAACTTCCTGATACAAAGGCCAAAGCACGCACCACGTTGTTCTCTAAATTCTGGGCCCACTTGAAGGATTGTTACAGAAGGCACTATATTCCCCTAAGGCTCCAAGGACCCAAATGATAAAGTTTTAGGGCCCAAATACCATTAATATTATAGTATTTGGGCCCTAAAACCCTATTGTTTAGGTCCTTGGACCCTTAGGGTTCTTTTTGCAGGCTATGGAGGGGCCTTTTTTGACCTGCTCGTGGACTCTCGGCTGTGCGTGCGCAGGTGACATCCTTGCTGCAGAACATTCGCCGGCCTTGGCCTCCGTGGTTCTTCGCGTCGCATTGCTTGGTAGTTGGTGGTAGTACCACAGTAGCTAATAATAGGATTGAACCCCAACCCCTCAAAATTGGGACCCTGTAACCAGCATATGATAGTCATGGGTTCCTAATTTTGGGGGTTGGGGTTACCAAAATCCCTTTAGCAGTAACAACAATAGCAATATTCTGATAATAGTAAGAACAATTATGCATGCATGCATGCATGCATGCATGCATGCATGCATGTACGTACGTACGTACGTATGTATGTACGTATGACAAAAGTATTCTGTCATAATAGTAGTGCGTGAAATAACTCTAAAAGTAAAACCCGAAGTCATACTAGCTTTGCTAGCTTTTATGTAGAAATGGTAGTTTCCCTGCATAGGGGGACCCCAGTATAGACTCCAAAATACTATGATCCTTGGTCTGGGGACCCCCCCAAATGGTAGTGCTATATTGGGGAAACCCTAAACTCCTACACCCTAAATTTCCATGATCCCTATATAGCCCTTATATCATCCCTAGTTCCTTCTGGTCCTGAATTCTAAACCCCTACCCTAAACCCTAAACCCTAAACCCCTATACCCTAAACCCCTATCATCCCTATATAGCCCTAGTTCCTTTAGGCACTTGAAGCAACCTGGCGGCCTGCTGCTCTCATGGGTTCAGGGCTCAGAGGAGTTGCCCTGCAATGTTCTTCCCCCATGAGTTAACAGTTGGATAATATTCCCTAAGATTCCAAGTACCTAATAATCATATACCTACCCAAAACCTGTCCTATAAGTACTATTACCCAAAACCCAAGTACCTAATTATTGGGCACATGGACCCTCTGGGATTCATAGTGCAATTCTATAGAACCCTTTAGGGGTTCGGGTTTTTTTTTTTACTCCAACTATAGACTGGGAAGGGGGAGGGGCAGGACCCAAAGGATGTCTGTTGCCATCATCTAAGGGGCCAGCAGACGGGAAGAGCCACCCCGATCAGGACTGGGAGTTGCAGATTTAGGATTTAGGGTTTCAGGGACCTGCTTCAGAATGAGGTTCAGTTTGCTCCCTCCCCAACTGCCCCGAAATTTCCCAATCCAAGCGCAATCAGGTGTGGAAGGCATAGGGCTTAGGAAACGGAAAGGCAGCCAAACTTCCGAAAGGAGCTGCTTCAGCTGGTGAAGCGGGAGGAGTGCTGCGCTCGCTTTCTTTGGCTGACTGTGAGAGTTCCCGAATCCTGGGGTCAATCAGGGTACCCGCCCTAAGCCCCAAAACCCTAAACCCCTAGAATCCCCCTACGTCATGGGGATCCCCGATCTAAGCCAGACTTCAGTGGATGAAGGCGCAGATGAGCTATGATCCAGACATGACGAGCAAGGTTAGGTCAGGGTGCTTGTCACGCCCTGAGACAAGCATGACTCACTTAGGGAGATATATGTATATATATATAGGGCTAAGGGTTTAGGGTGGTGAAGGGCTTTTATGGGCTTTTGATTTTCGGGTAAAAGTGTTTGGTTTGGGTTCAGGGCTTTAAGTAGGTTTGGGGATCAGGGTTTCACGGTCTACCCTAAACTCTAAGGGTAAGCACTTTAGGGTTCTAGGTCTAGGAAGCTCAGTAGGGTTTAGGGTTATCTTGGCATCCTGATTCCGCTCTCTACTTTAGGGTTGTGGGTTTAGTCAGGGGCTAGGGTTTAGGATTCTAATTCAGCCTTATAGAGTCGGAATAGAGCTGTTGCGGCTATGAGGCACTGGTAAACAAAACCATCATAGCCAAGTTATGTTCTGCAGACTTTTATTTCTGAACTATGGGAATTCCTGTGAGAGCTGAAGCTGTCAGAGTAAAGGGTACTACTTTCGGTTTGCGTCCTCTGTTCTTGCGGCACCAGCTCTAAAATTCAGGGTTCTGCAGGGTCCAGATACATGGAGAGAATCTCACTGAAGCCCGCACAAACCCAGTTTCCATGTCATTTCTCTATTGTTGTGTTGCTACTCGTAGGGGGATCTTGATAATTACTCAAGCTACATTGCCATTAAACCTAAACTGGCTCGCCTACAGAACTTTTGCAACCCCTCTAAAGGGACCCCTGCCACAGTGTTCTTAGGTAGATACACCTAACCCTAACCCTAAACCCTAAACCTGCCAAGATTGCTGCAAGCAGCTGCAAGGTCAAGCTTCAAGACGAGCATCTTTGCCTTTCGCGCCGCATGCTCTGTGATATGGGGCACAGGGATCTAGAGGGCTTCTAAGGATCTGGGACTCTCAAAAATTCCGGGCACTTTCCTTGGAGGGTTATACGTATTGAGGTCTATATTTGGGGCACCTGTTTATGGAAACCCCTATGTTGCGAGAATTGCTGGATTACATGCACACGGACTCTTGAAATTGCCGGTCCTGGGCTCATTCCATGGGGTGTATGACGTCTCAAACTGGCCCCCGCACTCCCCAACGTCTCAAATCATACATATGAGCCATAGTCTCAACTCCTTAAAGGGGGTTAGACAGGCCTGCACCACGGATTCCCAATGTTTTTACTCTGCTTCCTTCCATATGTGACTATGTCACAATATGCCCCAAACCCCATGTTAAATATTCCCGCAACCTCCTGAGCATACTTCTCAGATGTTATTTCAACCCAGTATATACCCGCAAGAGCTCTTTCGAAATAAGCCTGTATATATACTTCTATGTGTATATATATATATATGGATAAATAAATATATATATACATATATAGATATTAGAGAGTATAGACGGAGTGCACCTTATCTATTCTTAGGAGGGACTAAGGGAATATAACCTTTCTATAATCCCTGTATACTATATTCCCTTATTCCCTAATATGTCTAAACCCTATCTATCTATCTATATATATGTATGTATGTATGTATGTATGTATGTATGTATTCTTTCCCTTGTGCCCTAATAAGAACCAGTAAGTTTTCTACTCCTTACCTGGCGTGTCGTGCCAAGGCTTGAATCTGCCAGTGTGACTGCCCGAGAGCCTCAGATGACCCAGGCGGCAAGACTTGCAGAAATTGGGGGTTTAGGGTTTGCCCAAAATTTAGGGGTAAGGGTTTGTCTTTGAGATTAAATACGGAGATATAGAGTGTAGAGTTGATCGGATGCTTCCTGCGGGGTCTATGTACTAAGGATTGTAGTATTCTGGGAATTACAGTGGGATTCCATTTTTTATAGACGCCAGCTTCAATTATATCAGGGTTGTCATCCGGAGGCAGAGGCGAAGACATAAATGAAGATAAACGAATGGACATGATTTGTTTATGCGGACATGTAGGTAGAGAGAGAGAGAGAGAGAGAGAGAAAGATAAGTATATATGTATATACACATGTATTCATGTTTGCATATGTATACATTTAGATATATATATATACATATCTTCAGAAATATGTATATGCGTTTTATTGGTTACTGTGTTGGGATGCCAGCTCGTTTGCATGAGGATAGGAATAGGAGAATGTATGCATGGAATATATAGCACAGTTCTTGCTGCTTAAGCACAGAGAGCCTGTGAGTTGCGGTCTATCCCACGAAATTGATGTGGCCATTAGATTAAAGCCCATTACAAGCTGCTTTACCTGAATTGGAAAATTATCATCCATTTTTGTCGGTTTATGTGGTCCGCTCAGAATCCTGAACCCTAGCTCCTATTCCAAGCCTACTCAAATGAGAGGACCATCCTGAACAAGTAGCATCCTCTCACCGACCCGGCGCTTGAGAAGCCTGGAGGCTGGATGCCTGCCAGGGGAGTGAGGGGCGATTGCAGGTTCCTTCCACAGACCAAAGCAGGATAAGCCTCGTTACTTGAGTGGGTCGCATGAAAGTTTCCCTCGGCCTCCTGGCTCTCCGGAACCGCAGGCCAATGACTCGGAGATCGCAGCAGGGTCGCCCAATGCCAGGGCTGCCTCGAGAGGTGAACCTGTCAGTTGCAATAGTGATGGCTCGGCTGAACACCAGCTCAGCATGCGGCAGATCAGGCTGAGGAAAACCTCTTGCATGAGTGCTTGGAGCTGCGTCTTGGTGTGCTGCCTTGCTTGCTATGCTCTGACACACATTACTGAATCTGGCTCAAAAAGACTGCCATGAGCAGGATCGTGTCCAGCTGGACAATGAAACCAGGTGCTGCAACCGCCCACATGCTGGAGCCAAAGTACGAAGGTAGGCGCCAGTGTAATTCGTGGTCACTGGTTAGCACTGCCGAGTGCCTCAGTTCATCCGCACAGGGAAAACGCATCGCTTGGACCAGATAGCTGGACATACGCAACGCCTGTCAGCAGTTGTTGATCGAACATGCGTTCGGGCTTCCAAAGCTTTCGGCACTTGCAGTTCTGCAACATCTGCCAAGTTCCACGGAGGAAGCCGCCAAGTTCAACAGAAACCAAACTCGTTCACTGTGGCAAAACTCATTCAAGCATGCAGTACTGACAAGTGGCCAAAGATCTTGGAGTTCTTGGAGCTGCTGAGATTCAAAAAGGTGAGGCGAGGTGTGGTCCCTTACAGCTGCGCGGTGTCCAAATTGACACGAGCACAGCATTGGCAACTGGCTCTTCTGGTGCACTTAGACATGCGAAAGCATCGCCTCGCTGATGTGGGTGCCTTTGCTGCCGTCCTGACAGCCTGCCGCACTGGGGCTGCGTGGCCAACATCACTCGCAATTCTCCAAGAAGCCCGACAAACGCATGTCCAGCCTGATGACATTTGCTGCAATGCAGTGGTGTCAGCATTGACACGTGCCACGCAGATTGCCCAAGCGCTGGTGGAGTCACAGCTAACGCTCAAAACACCAAACTTCAACTCAATCATCATGTCCCTCCGCCATACTTCAGCAGCTTGGGCATATGCCTTCGATGTCCTTGCACATATGCAGAACCGGCGGGTTGCTGCAGATGTTGGCACTCTCAAGGCAGCTGCAAGCATTTGTGGCCTAGGACGCCCAGACCTGGTCCTCAGCTTATTCAAAGGCTTAGAAGAGCTTCGCGTACAACCTGACATCATTGCGGTAAACATGCTCATGGGCTCCCTGGAAAGATGTCACAAGTGGCAGGCGGCTTTACATCATCTTCACTTGTACTGCAGTGAAGGTCTCATTCCTGAGCTGACTACTTATAACTCGGCGATCAGCGCCTGCAGCAAGGCAGCTCGATGGGCCTGGTCCATGCACTTGGCGGATACTGGGTTACTGTTAAGGAACCTAATTTAAGTTACTATATTGGGGAAACCCTATTATTTACTATATATATCCATTATGGTAACTTAATTTAAGTTCCTTAACAGCAACCCAGGATACCATGGTCTCGAAGGCTCTTAGGGCGGACGAGATCACAATGGGCAGCCTTATCACTGCCTGCTCATCTCAGGGTTACTGGCGATTGGCACTGCAGTTGCTTCATGCCTCAAAGCATGGAGGATCTCCGAGCCTGATTGCTTTTCACTCTGCCATCACGGCGTGTGATCGGGCAGGACGATGGATGTGGTCCCTCCACCTGTTCAGTGATGCCATTGCAAGCCGATTGACTCCAGATGTCAGCTTGCTTGGTGCAGTCCTTTCTGGTTTGGAGAAAGCACAGCATTGGACACGATCTTTGGCCTTGCTATGCCGCATGGCCGGGGACGGATACTGGGCCCGCATTTGAGGATCCTTATATGCTTTTGCAGGGGTGGCCTGAGCTTCCTCATGCTTAGTTAAGGGTAGAAGGGACTAAGGATACTCTCCAGATGTTGCAGTCCTTACATCTGCAATCAGTGCATGTGCAAAAGCCCATTGTTGGGAGATGGCGCTCCTGCTTACCCATGAGGCTGGCTTTGGGTTTGCCAGGGTTTAGGGCCTAATGTACCCCAATACCCCAAAAGAGGCGAAGATAAAGCCCAAATGTTGGACATGAAAACTCCAGGTAGGCTGTTCACGCACACTGCGTTCACTTCATATCACGGCCCCTCCTGCCCGTAGACGAGGGCCACAATGTCCATAATCAGCGCTGCTCATCAGCCCCGGTTCTAGCCGCTATTAGCAGAAAATTTGCTTTTACTGAGGATTGAAGCAAGACCCTTCCAGTTTCGAGCCCAGGGGTTGCATCGTTCCAGGGGGGAAAGTTGACTACGTGCTGCTTCGGAGATAGGATTCTGAAATTATGCGAGGGGGTTGTTGAGGTGAGGTCGTAGACGAACAGCGCAGCATAAAGATGCAGCTGCGAGATGCTTCTGTTTTGCTGTCAACGCCAGACGTACATAGTTTCATTAAGTCACGTGTTCTGTTGTATAAGCAACTGTCACAGAGCAAGCGTTGGGGCACCAATCTGTGAGGAGCAACCCTTTCCTGCACGTGCATCAGCAATGTGAGCTCAGACGTCTTTAGGGCTAGTCGGCTTGTCATCCGAACTCTGATGAGCCATGAGTGCCAGCATGAAGGCGATGCTGAAGGACAGGCCTCTGCAGAAGGAAGCTCTGAAGACCTCCTGGTGGGTGGCCTGATCCTGCGTGGAAACAAGTGTGTGCTAATCCGATCCCTTACTGGAGAGTGGGAGGGAATGCGGCTGCCATGGGGCGCCGCGAGTGTAAACGGTTCAACCTCAGAAGCTGCGGTGCAGATTGCATCGGAGCTATGTGAGACTGGGTTATATTCCCCCAGTTTCCATTTCATTTTCCATCTTCTTTTCCATTTGATTCTCCATTATAGGGGGATAATCCCTCAATTTAAGTTCCTTAACAG